CCATCTACCCACCCACCCATCCACCCATCCACCCACCCATCCATCCACCCATCCACCCATCCACCCATCCATCCACCCACCCATCCATCCACCCATCTATCCATCTACCCATCCATCCATCCATTCATACATACATACATCTACACATACATACATACATCAATATACCCATCAACACATCCATTCATCCATCCACCCACCCACCGACCCTGTCTTCCACTCACCCATAGCTCTCCACTCCTGCACGCACACCTATCTGTCCACACATCCTTCCTGCCATCTGTTTATACACTCACCCACTCACCCACCCATCCATCCATGCACCCATTCAATCACCTCTCCATTTCACAAATATTAACTGAGCTCTCATCTCAGAGAGAGGTGTAGGAGATCAGGGCAGTATATGTGTGTGTGTGTGTGTATGTTATATACATATATATACATACACATATACATATATATGTATATAACATACACACACACATATATATACACACATATGTATATATATATATGTGTGTGTGTGTGTGTGTATGTTTGAGCTCTACCAGGCCAAGCACAGAGAACTATTTTTGCTCTGTGCCTTTGACTCTCACAGCATTGCAGGACAAGTGTGTATTTGGCCTGGTTTTGCACAAGAGCACCCAGCCCACATCACCAAGGTCATAGGCAGCAAGACCCAGATTGAGTCCAGGATTCTGCATTTCCCCTGCCAAAGCCTCTCCCCAGCTGCCTGCAGAGAGGCTATCCAGGGAGTCCTTGCTGGCTCAACCAGAGTCGGAGGGGCTGCCGGGCGGAAGCCTGAGTGTTCCCAGACGGGAGGCAGCGGGTGATGTCCAGACAGGCTGCCCCACGCCAGCCCAGGCACTGCCTGCCGGCTCTCCAGGCTGTGTCCTCTCCCCTCTCCCTCCTAGAACTCCACCTCTACTCCCTGCCTCAGGGCCAGCTCAGTTGAGCCTCGGGCAGCTCAGCTCGCACCCAGCATCCCCCAGCGGCCTCTCCAGATCTCCAGTGCATACCCCTAAGCCACCTCCTGGCCTCCGCTCCCCCAGGGCCTGCTGTCTCTCAAATTGCTGGTGTCGGGTGGCTTCCAGGCTGCTGTGTGCCCGCAGCTGAGCGCAGGAGGGCCTCCCGCCCATGCTGGCATTTCCTTCCTGCTCCCCCAGGCCTGAGGCTGCTTCCAAGAACTCTGCCCCAGGGCAGCTTTCCTAAGCCTGGAGGCCCCTGCTGGCTGCAAATGCCTTCTGGCTCTGCACGGCCCGCACATCGCACATCGCCCTGACCCTGTCCTGGCCGCTGTGCTCCATTTATGGAGATCCCAAGTGCAGGGCCACGCAATCTTCCAGGCAGGCCCGTGGCAGGGTCATGCCAGCTGTCTTCTGCCCGGGCCCTGCCTCTTCCTGACGGCTCTGTTCCTGTCTTAGGGGATCCCATGTCCAGGGAGTCCCTCTGTGTCCAGACCACCTGCCCCTC